GACAACCTTCGCTGTTAATAATAGATATGGTGTCAGCGGAACGTTTCGACATTCTGATCGCGTACTTTTTTCTGCCTAGCTAAAAGAAGCCAACAACCATCGACCTGAAGAGACGAGAGAGAGAGAGAGAGAGAGAGAGAGAGAAAAAATTGCGAGGAGGCAGATTTCAGGGGGAGAATGCAAACTTAGGCTCACGGTGGAGAAGAGAAGAAAAAAAGCACGAGGAAGATGGAAAGGATTATGGTGCGTCAGGAGCGATGACTGAACGGCTGGTAATCGCCAGGCCGCTCTAATATTTCGAATAGTTCGCATTTACAATGGGCTTTATTGGCGGGAAAACTGAGGGGGGTATTTTGAGCAGCCAGGACATCCATCACTGGGTGTCAACGTGATTGTCTTGCGTCGCGTTCACCGTGGAAAAGTATTGACGCGCCGCGACGAGCAGCGTTTCGCTCCTACGCTCAAAACAATCTATTTCGTTTTATCGGAGACAAAATGATCGGGCGAATCGTCTACCAGAGAAACAGCGTAGTACGTTCGATGGCGGATAGACGGATGGCAGAACGATTCGACGTCGCTCGGTCATCGTCCATGGACAGCAGTATTCCGACCAGGGGAGCTCGGGTTCGCCATTGTATCGTATTTAAATGAGCTTTCTAATGCGTTTAGGTCGGATATCGCGGTAGACGGGAGTCATCCTGCCACCAGGCTCGCTTGGATATCCGTTTGGAGCACTGATGCACGAGTCTTTAGGGAAACATTGGTCTAGGATCGAAGGTCACTCATTTCGACGAAATGGACTAAATTACTCAGTTTCAAAGAAATTTTTAAATAAGGAAATCTCACGGTTAGTTTCATTAGTTTGCATAGCTTGAATCGATCAATCTGGATTTGTTTCCATTTGAATTTTTGTGTACTTCAAGTTTAATATTAGTCGAAACTTGGGGAAAGAATGACGTCGAAAAGCCAGGTATGAACGCGTTTATTTCTATATTAATTTTGTTAGCAGGTGTTGGGAAGAGGGAGCCTCGGAGGGAGAAGAAGCGGACGCGTCGCACCGAATAAAAATGCTCGGCATTGTCGTCATCGCGCGCGTGGATTAAAGTCGACGAGAAATAAAAGCTGGTCGTTCGTTGGGAAAACAGAGCACGGTTGATCAGAGAGAGAAAGAGAAAGAACGAGAGAGGTTGTACATACGCTCACAGGAGGCGTCGATGCATAATCGGAGCGCACCCTCCCGTGGCTATCCGTTTTATTTATCCGATAACACGCCATTATGGGCGAATCGCGGACGCGGCTGTGTCGGTAACGATTGGCTATTTATAATAACACGTGGCATATGGGTAATTAGTTGCGCGTAAGCCGCGCTGAAAAACCGAACGGTGGCGTATGTACGTGTCCAGAAAAATTACCGTCGTTTTTCATCCGCCGCCGCTCCGGAATCCATTATTCCGCCTCTTGATTTTTCTCCATTCGCAGGCCGCTCCGGCGGGCATTGAAAACCGCATGCAATTAGGGTTTTGTAAAATCTCGCTCTTACGTGACTCTCTCGAGTCGACTTTGACGCCCGATTCGCAGGATCGCGACTGGCACGAACGAGTAATTACGTTAATACGATCGACGTTCTCTGTTTTCTTTGATATCGACAGGATTGAAGGAGAACGGGAACGATAATCGAACCGATCGAGATTTGAATGACAGCGCTGAGACAACGGGAGGCAAAAAACGATGGGAAAAGTGCGTGTCGTGCGTTCGATGAACACGGACAGTCGAGGAGAGCGACGCTTCCGGTGCAGTGGAGTCCTTCCAACGCGTGTCCGGTTCGCTGCCACGGGATGCCTCCGTCCCGACAAAAATTCGCGCTTTTTCTCCCTCTCTCGATGGACGCTGCTCGTACCCTCCTTTTTTTCCCCTACGCTCTGTTACAGACTTGTAACGACCACGCGCAAACAATGACGAGGGTTACGTAACGGCTATGCACAACAGGCTGGCGTTCACTGCTCGCGCTTCGCGCACTTCTCCCGTTGCGGGGTGGCCAATGAACAGCAACAGGAACGACGCTGCCGATCAGCCGCGTTCCCGTGAACGCTCCAACGATGTTCTTCGTCTGAAACTGCCCTTGGATCGGTTCGGGATACTATTTCATAGAAATTTCATGTCCACGAGATCTGCTAGGCGAGGGACAAAGGCGAGTTGCGGTTCCAGGAAGCAAGACGATTCCACGAATGAAATTGTTCCACAGTTCCACGTAACGGAAAGGCGGAGATCGTTAGTCGTCGGAGCACGCTCCAAGTCGTAAGCTCGTGGGCTCGAGATATTTTCTCGTGACCGCAAAACAAGAGGAGGCAGCGGTTGCTTGGACGGGCGAATGCGTCGAGCCGGTCCGACCGACGGGATTGTCCTTCATTACGCACGAAGGAAAGTGCAGTCATCGGCGTGCATACCCGTAGGTATGCACACAGAGGCATTAGCTCCCCCAAAGCCAACCGGTATTAATTCCACTAATTGGACGTGGTTTGGTTCGTGGCAAACATCGGTCCCCTACCGATCCTCGACCTTCCTCGAACGAAGGGACTTGGATCTCGCGATCGATCGCCTCGTCGTCGCGAACGATGACTTTATCGTCGTTGGAAACGACACGTAAACATCCTCTTCCCCTCGTATGGACGCATCGTACGAATATCGATTCGTGAAACCAGGATTGGCACGATCGGAGGAATGGCGAGATTTCGGAGAACGGTTCGCATCGAAGAAGGTCACGGGGTGAAGACGTTGGTGAGAAGCTTTTGTCAGTAAACTGGAACAGCAAGACGATTGGCCTCCGCTCGACGGAGCTGGTCAATGAACGTTAGGCCCAGGGGGTCTCGTTCCGTTTGGGGTTGCACGAGGTCAAGGGATCAGCTGCGGCGGAGGAGTACGTGTGCGAAGCCCGATACACGTACACACGTGCACACGTAACGAACGACGGAGGGTCTTTCCTCGTGGATCTGGGTCACCGGGCCGATGAGGACTGATCGGGGGTTGACCGCTAGAAAAAGGCCAAACGGTGCGGCCTCTGTCTTCCTCTTTTTTTCTATCTCGCCTATCTCTCGACAGCCTCCGAACCGCCGCCCGTGACGAGTTAATCGGACAGCAGGGTCTTCTCTCCTTTGGAATCCCTCCCTTCGCTTTTTAACGGACCGTGCACGGACGATGTTTACTGGAAGCTTGACCACAAATTTCATCGACTGTCTTCCTTACGAAAAAGACGCTGGTAATTCTCCGATAATCCTCTGCGCGTATACGCTTTTCAGGCTAAGCAGTTCGTACATACAGGAGGGTCCATCTTTTTCGCGGGTAAGGACAATAGACAAAACCTGCGAAGAAATCTTAACTGTCCATGTTCTAAAACCGTCTCCTAGGGCCCGATTACGTGGATAGATTTAATTCGCACCGAAACGGCGAGGTTCTTTCTCGCCAAGGAAACAAGGCTGTTTATGCGAGCAGATTTCGGAGCAAGATTTCTCCTAGGTTTTTTCGCGACAGCATAAAACAGCAAAGAAACCAAGACGCGTGGGATCGATCGAAATAGTTGAAAACGACCACAGAGCGGCGTAGGAAGGAGAGACCAGGGGAAGTTCGGACGTAAGAAGCATCGGCGGATACGGACGCTTTAGGTATGGCACAAAGATATTAAGCACTCATACTTGGGAGCTTACCGAGAGCCGCGGAGAGTGTCGGGTATGGTATATCGCGCATGTTACGAGAGGAAGGAGGAGGAGTGAGGTGGAGAAACGGTGGTAGCATCGCGGTGCCATGGCGCGAGAGGGCGAACGAAGGGAGCGGCGGAGCCGTAAGAGGGTGGCCGAGGAGCGGAGAGAGATCGCGAGGAAGCAGAGTTACCTACAGAAGAAATAAGCGCGTCCGTGTAATGCTGATGGCGAATATGGTAGAGGAGATTCAGCGAGGCACCGGCGAAGAAGAAGGCAGCAGGGGGGTCAGGTTCTTCGCGACGAAGGGGTGGGTGGAGGGTACCGGGAAGGGGGACACGCGCGGGAGACCGACCGATCGATTCGAACACCGGCGACATTCTTCGTCGTACGGACAGAGGAACAGGGAGAAACGTCGAGAGACAGGCGGGCCTGGAAGGAGAGAGAAGGAGAGACACGGAGAATAGGTCGGCCACGAAAGAGGAAACGAGGTGGAGATTGCGAGTTGGTCGCGGGCGAGAGAGCGCGAATTCCAGAGAGCGTGCAAGCTATAGGCCAAGGTGGGAGGAGAAGCCGGCGGAAGAAGTGGGAGGGAGCTACGAAGAGGCAGGGGAAGCTGGAAGAGACGGAGAGGTGTGCGTGAGAAAGCTAGCGAGGGAGGGTGCGAGGGAGAGAGAGAAAGAGAGAGAGAGAGAGAAAGAGAAATTGTAGGAGGATAGGCGAAGAAGAGCGAAGAAGGTGAAAGAAGTAGGGGGAAATGAAGAGAAGAGAACGGAATAACAGCAAAGACGACGTAAGGGGTCGGGAGGACGGGGGGGTGGGGGTGGGGTGGGGTGGGGTGGAGAGGAAGGTAGTGCATCGAGGAAGGGTGGTAAGTAGAAGAGGCTCGAGAACGAAACAGAAGAAGAAACTGGAGGGGTGTCGAGTAGAAGAAAGCAAAAAGGGGTAGAGAAGAAAGGAGAAACAACGAGAAGGAAAAGGGAAGGGACAAAACGCGACAAGGAGAAGCGGCAAAGAGAGGAGAGGGTGGCGGGGGAAGGGGCGGGGGAGGGGAGGGGAGGGACGGTTAGAATTTAGGAGTGGCGAGACGAGGCGAGGAAGGGGGGAGGGGCTACACACCAGCGGAGGGGGAGGTCGCGAGGAAAAAGAAGAAATCCCCACTCGTAGCGCGTAGATCGGCGGTAGGTTCGAATCGTACTGTCTTGTCGGTACTCGCGTCTGCGTCTGGATGTCTCCGTGTGTTAGTCGCCCCCGGAATCGTCCCGTTCGGCGTCGTCGGTGGCAGAGGTTGCCGCTTGGTGGGGAACGTTCGCTGGTCCCTCTCTACTGTGCGGGGGGAAGGTTCGTAGGCGTCTACGCCGCGAGGTTTCCGTCCAATGAGGACAACTGCCACCCCGGTGGCTCCGCCAACCGGATACTCGGTTGCGCGCTCAGAACGCCCATCCTCCCCGTTCCTCGAGCTCCCACCGATGTTTTTATTTATTACATCTGTGACTGGGTAGGGAAATACTCCCGACTCGACCGAGAGAGCGTTTGCCACTTTGAGAACGAGCGACGCGCGTTCCTGCGAGTTACCGCCGCAGCCGCTTTCATCGTTGTCGTCGTTGTGATCGTTGCCGTCGTCGCGTACGCTGTCACCGTCGACAGCATCCTCGTCGGCCGTGGTGTACTTAGGTGTGCGTCGCGCGTCACTCGTCGTCGCGTCGCGTCGGTTCGTTCGCGTCCACGTTGGTCGTCGACAAACTCTGTCGCGACATCCGCGTTGTTCCAGTCACAGCTTCGTTCCGGTGTGCTCGAATTTCGCGAGTGAAAGAGGCTAGCAGCTACGCGTCCGCTAGGTACAACTCGGAGTTTTTGGGGTGTCGATCGTTAGGCGAGGGGCAGCTCGGCTGCTCCTCGAGAGTAGCTGCCCGACACGCGGAACACACGGACCAGTCCGCGTCGAGAACGAGCACGAGGTTACGAGTAGAGTGACAGAGTGACACCGGCCGATTGTCATGGACAGGGCTGTTGGAGTGGTTGTGCACAGTGAAGTTGTTGTCTGCGCGTGCATGGCCCAATCTACTACGTGAGCCGCGCGACAGTTTGGTCCAAGTGTGCAGTGACGTTTGCCTGGCCGATATCGTGGATCGAACGCGACGCGACGCATCTCGTCGGCTGGTTCCGGCAGCCGAGCGAGAATCGGAGTAGCGAGTCTAGCATGCGTTGACTCGTGGCGGCTAGTCGCTCGTTTCCCGTGGTGTCCACGTGGCGCGAGACAACCGAAACCAAACAATCGAAACACGTAGAATCGTTTTAGAACGCCGCAGCTCCGACACAACGTCTTCTACTAACGGATAGACGCGCGCCTTTCGGACACCCCATGGACCACGGAGCGATGGATAGCTCTTCCGACCACAGCAGTCGTGCCAGTCCCGTAACCGGCAGTCCGAAGCATCCCCACAGCCCATCGGGTCAACAGAGCAAGCAGCAGCAGCAGCTTCACGGTTCTCAGCATCAACCGCCGCCGTCGCACCAGCAGCCCCATCCGCGGGACCAGATTCGCGAGCAACAATCGCAACAGCAACACCGCGGCGTTCCCACGCCGGGATCGCCAACCAGAGGTTCGCCACCTCAAGGACTTCCGTTGAGTCCACCGCCTCTTTCCGCAGGAGGAGCACCCGGTGCACCTCCAGGAATGGTCCCACGTATGCCAGGACTACCGCCACCGGGATTAGGGTTGCTGGGACAGCTCGGCGGCATGCTCAGCGGCCACCATGGCTCGCCGCTCGAGCTGATGGCCGCGCATCACGCGGTTCTGCCTCCGAGGTCCTACAACAGCCCGCCGCCGATAAGCACCAGCGATCCCACCGCGAACGAATGCAAACTGGTGGACTATCGCGGTCAGAAAGTAGCCGCGTTCATCATCGCCGGGGACACGATGCTCTGCCTCCCCCAGGCCTTCGAGCTCTTCCTCAAGCACCTCGTCGGAGGTCTGCACACCGTCTACACGAAGCTGAAGAGGCTCGATATAGTGCCGTTGGTGTGCAACGTCGAGCAAGTTAGGATTCTACGGGGACTCGGAGCCATCCAGCCTGGCGTCAATCGGTGCAAGCTGCTCAGCTGCAAGGACTTCGACGTGCTCTACAGGGATTGCACTACAGCCAGGTAAGCGTAGACGAATAACGTTAGCCTAAGAAGATTTCTTGTCCCGTTCACGAATGGGGAGGGAGGCCGAATAGCCTTTCGAATAGTATTCGATGACACGCGACGATAACAACGTCGGTGCATAGAGCCACCTACGGCTGATCGTTGGTTTTGTAGCTCCTGCTGCCGCGAACGGAAGCTACGATCCTCGCGTGTATTAATAACGCCCGGTGTCGCCTCTGGGCAGCACTTTATCTTCGACCAGCTACGTTACGTACGGCGCTACCGGTCGACCAAAAAATATTTTAATCGCGCGTCGGCTTCTTCTCGATGCCCAAGCGTTTGCTTGCTACCGAGATCGTGCATTTCTTACAGCTCCTCCTTTGCTACGTTTTACGCCTCCGTTTCGAGTTTTCTTTTCTTTACTGGACAGACTCCACTCGAAGCATCGATTTCGATCGCGTACGATTCCAATTCAATATTTTCCATCCACTCCCTCGATCGCGTCCCAAACTACGGGAAGGAGATTCGGCCAGAGGCACGTGCCCTTGGCTCTCTGGAATTGTCAACGGGCCTCCGCGCCAACAGGTGTCCCTTTCACGGCAGTTTCTCTGAATGAATCGTCCCCACCGACGAGACAGAGAGAAGTGGCTGTAGTACAAGCTTACCCCACCCACGAGTCAGACGGCAGACGAAACGGAATGGTAAACGGAACGAGGGGATCCAGCGTTATCCGGGGAAAATATTGTCCCCGACTTTAGAGTCCTCCGACGCTTCGCGCGACCAGAGTGTTTCCCGATAGTCCTCGCCTCAGGGATGGTTCCTTTGCGTGGGGAGTCGATCGCGTCGTGAAATAGAGATCCTTTGAGAGGGTTGCGTCCAGAGAGGATCGATCGAGAGGTAGATCGGTCGTGGAGAACGACAATAGTATTGCCGGCGGCCTGGCACGCGGGTGGCAGTCGCAACGGAAACGGATTCAGCGCGACACAGAGAGGGCGATGGAGAAAGAGGGTCGAGGGATTCTGTGCTGAGGGAACAGGGATAGGGCGAGACAGAGAAAACGGGAGGAAAGAGAAAGCTGTAGGGATAGGGATCCAAATAATCCCAGTCGCAGTCACAGAACAGAGCTGACCGAGCCGTCGCGACGGCTCGTGCGGGCTCTTCCTTTCGCGGTTCCTCGGTACCACTACATGTATCATTTTGTGTACATTCTTGGAATATGGATGTAGAGGAATTGAACAGTGCTAGGAAGCGATAGATAGTTGGAAAAAATTATTCAAGTCTAAGAGTTAGGGAGGTTATTGGTAAAATTGCAGTAGTCCAGTAGCAAGATCGGTCCAAGAAAGGTTAATATAGAGTTAAAATAAATTAATTTTAGTACTGCGCTTCGATTGGCACGACTGTTATCGATATTGAACAAAAGAAATCAGGTGAATGCCATCTGTATTCATGAGGTAATAACGAAACAATTGAAAATTTGCAATTTCCCAAACGATATGCATAAAGATAGCCTCCCCTAAATATTAAAGACATATTTCCACGAGTTCTCGTTTCGATCATGCAAATGGACAATAATTTGTACCGAAATCCATAGAAAACTAAAGTACCTACGCAAAACTATACATTTTACAAAGAAACTGAAAAAGCTAAGTGGTCGAAATTGCTGCCCTCGCGCCATATAATTTCTTTCATTTTTTACGATCATTCCCATCTTGTTACATACTCTTTCGTAACGTTCTTTTCATTTCGTCGAAAAGAGACCCTTTCAGTTATACTTTTCACGTTACGCACGTTTCTTTTCCATCCAAATAATGGAAGGTTTCATAGAACGCCCCGCGAAAGGTGGAAATCTGACGGAGCAACGTTGAATAATGGCGAATGATCGATCATTCTTGCAACGTTTCCTTTGCGACGCGTGGTGTCTATTGTTCCGTTGGAACAGAACTCAACGTCACGTATAGCTTGTGTTTCTTTTCTGGTGTCAATTTCCAACTCTCCAATTGTTGATATTTTACTTGTTTGTTGATATTTTATTAGACTAATTCGTAATGGACGATTCCGTTCAGACTTCTTTACAAATTTCTGATTCGATACCTTTACATCAAACGCAAAGGTTTATGTTATGCTTGTCCACGATGCCAGATTTCGTCTTTATAACTCGAGGGATAATTTTACAATACGAATCCAAGCAACAGAGGCCATCGCGATTTCGATTTGATCGTTTGCTGGACTTTTCGTATCGATTGGAAAAAGGACGGAGCGAGGACGAGGGCGAGGGCGCGGGTCGCGGACGAGGGAGGGCCGCCAGGAAAAATCGGATGATTAAGAGACCGCGGTATGGTCGTCGTGCGTGCGGTGTCCGGTGCTGGTCGCGTGTACCGCTGACGTCGTTACATTCTGATAATGCACGGGCAGTGGTAACACCGGGAACGGCTACACACCGATGTTACGCCTCTACGCGCGCAACGTTTGCGCGCACAGTTACACGCTCCTCTGGCCGCTTCTATCGCCATCGATGCAACAGCATGCACCGAGAACCGCACCGATAATTCAGGGGGATTTTTCTTGCGGTCCCCGCCGCGGCGCCGGCTGCGTCGCATCGCTCGCGTCGCGTCGAGGGACCATCCTGTCCCTCTGTTTAAGAATCTTCAGGAGAAGGGAGCTATTCTGCTTTCGAACGTTAAAAATCGCCACATTTTCCAGCATAAATGATGCTTTGTAGAGGCATAATCATACTTTTTCACTACCAGTCAACCCTTTAGCCACGATTCATTCTTAGTTTTGTAATTGATTTTTTTTCATCATTTACCCGTGCATCCAGTAAAAATTGGAACGCTCCATGTTTAATAGCGGAGAAAAGTAGCGATGAAAGGTCGTTATTCGCGTGCCAGTGTGTCTCTCTTACCGCGATCTCTCGATGATCGTTGACCAATTAAGTTATCCAGTCGATTAACTCGTTCGTCCCAAAGTCTCGGCGATCGTAATGGCTGCCGCTTACAAATCTCAGGCTTCACGACTGCCCACGCGTCGACCGATCGGCGACAAGAGAATCGTCCCCGATTTGCTCGTCGAGCACGCTCGTTTCTTCTCGGACACGCCTAATTGATGCCGTATACGTTCGCTAACGAGACGGGCCAATTATCCTCGTCAATTTACCTGACCACGGACGATCGAACTCGACGATCCTTGGACTGTCCAACTCGAAACCATCCTCGAAACAAGCTAAATCCTCTCATGAATTTTTATATCCGTCTCGAAACAGAAAACTTAGCTTCGAACGAAGGAAAATGCCTGACCCATCTTTCTAGATCATTCACCTAAATTCACCGAAGAAATTGCGTGCTCGATAGAAACATCGTCCTCTCCTTTAATCGTCAGGAGACGCGACTGCTGCAACCGTGGTCGATAAATGCCATTAGCCGATCAGATCGATATCTAGCAAACGTACGCTTCTGCTCGTTCCTCCTTTTCTTGCTTCTACCCCCTTAAACGCGCGGTTCGCGACGTATACGCGTAACCCACGAACGCTGTAGGATACGTGGGA